AAATAGTGTATTTTTAAAAGACATTAAATTAACAATAAAAAAATAATAATACCTAGGAAGTAACTAAATAAGAAATGTGCAGCTGTTACCAGTGCAGTGTCTTGACTACATGTCGTCCAGGTTCTTGGCACTTTGAACAAAGATTTGGACAAAATGCATAAAGAAAGCAATGAAAGAATGAAACAATGAAAGCACAGATTTACTGAAATGAAAGTACTCTCCACAGAGTGGAAACAGGCTGGACCAAGTGGCTCAAGAGAGCTGGTTACAGAATTTTCTGGGGTTTAAACTTTCTCTAGAGGTTTTCCATTGTTTACTTGGTTGCACCCTATGTAAATGAAGGAGTGACCTGCAACCAATCAGAAGTACTTTCCATTTTTCATCTGCCAGGCAATGCAAAGGGAGTAGCCTCTGATCCTTTTGTGGAGAGGTAGGGTTTTCCTTTTGCTTCAGTTCTAGGAAGTCAGCACCAATCAGCCTTAGGCTTCCTGCCTCCAAACTCTATTCTCCTGCCTCACAAGGTCACTGTGAAGGCAACTTTAAAACACCATAGAAACAAGCTTGTCCCACCTGTGGCCCATGGGCTGCATGGAGCCCAGGACAGCTTTAAATGTGTTCCAACGCAAATTCATAAACTTTCTTAAAACATGAGGTTTTTTGCATTGTTGTTGTTGTTGTTAATTTGTTTTTAAGCTCATCAGCTATCATTAGTGTTAGTGTATTTTGTGTGTAGGCTAAGATAATTCTTCTTCCTCCAGTGTGGCCTGGGGAAGCCAAAAGATTGGCCACCCCTGCTATAGAAGATCACAAAAGAAGATTTGAACAAATGGAAAGTGATACCAAATTCTTGGATAGGAAGACTCAAAATAACATCATAGATAACAATATGTCTTCAATTAATTTGTAAATTTAGTATGATTCCCTTACAAATAGCATTGTTTTGTTTTTTAAACAAGATAAGAATACTTTGAATTTAATGTGTAAAAATAAATAACCAAAAACAACCGGGAAACTTGGTTAACAAAAGAACAAATGAGAGGTGATTGGCCTTACTAGATATGATAATGCCTCTGTAATTAAAATAGAATGGCATTGGTGTACAAATAAACAGACTAACCAAAGGCCCAGAATAAAAATTACAGAAGTAGACCCAAACCCTTAAGAGATTTTGTATATGATGAAAGTTGTATCTCAAAATGGTGGGGAAAAGATGGGTTATTTAATAAATGTGGTTGAGACAATGGGGTGGTCTTCTTGGGAAAAATATGAGTTGGATTTGTACTTTATATTACGATGGATTCCAAATGGATCAAATATTTAAAAATGAAACCATAAGAGTACTAGAAGAAAATATGAGAGAATTCTTTATAACTTTGGAGTGGGCAAGGAGTTTCTAATTTGACCTAAAACCTGGAAATCATAAAAGATTCATAAAGTTAGCCACAAACTTTTGCGTAACAAAAAGCCTATAACCCAGAAGAAAAGTGTTGGGGGCGGGGGATGTATTTGCAATTCTTAGTGCTGATAGAGAATTTCTGTAAGATTTAAGAACTCCTAGAAATTGAACAGAAAAAGACCTAACAATAAATAGAAGAATTGGCAAAAGGTGTTAAAAAAAAACACAGTTCACATAAAAGAAGATACTGAATGGTTCTTAAAGCATAAAAAACTCTTCAGCTTCACTCCAACCACCTTGAGATACCATTTTCATCAATAAGACTGACAAAAATCCAAAAGTTATTTAGTATACCATAGTGGAGAAAATTCAGAGTAACAGGCACTATTGTTGGTGAGATAGTACAACCCTGACTGAGGGACATTTGGCAATTTCTATCAATTTCATTATGGCATTTTTGTAATTTCATTAAGTTAATATTTACTATAATTTCTGGTAGAAGATATTTTTATCCCTTTTATTTTCTCTATTTTTTGTCCAGTGAAAAGAACTGCTTTTATTGAATACCATGTCTGAGAATATAAATTACTAAGTCTTACTCAAACACCATATGCGTTATGGGCAGTTTTTTTTTTTATCTGATGAGATTTCTAATTATATGGGATGAAGATTGTTTTAATGAGATCATAAGTAAACAGATTTATCAAAGAAAAGCTCTAATTTAAGTTTTCTGGAATAGATTCATCTTATACAACAAGATTTTTTTTTCTCCAATGTTCTACTTTCTCTGTTTTTGCTGACCTAACTGTTTCCCTCTTATGATTCACCAAACTAGAATAACAATATATTTGTCTTCAATGTGCATATTTTTAGTAAAAGAACAGAATGTTTTCCTGCTGTGTTATTTATTAATTATGGGAACTTGAGGGTGGCGCGTGTGTGTGTGTGTGTGTGTGTGTGTGTGTGGGGTATGTATGTAACATTACTAGAATCCCTGTTGGTTGAGGGCCTTGCAAGCTTGTATAAAGAAAGAGTAGGAAGCAGGCAAAGGAGAGGGAAAGGACAGGCATGTTATGATATTTAAGGACATGACAATGAATACCTTGTTAATACAAAAAATAAGCCCACTGTTGGGATGCATAAGATTAAACCCACTTCTGTTTAATCAGTAGTGTCATCTTTATATAAAAGAGATAACACATTACTACTCTTACTCTCTCATTTTACTTTTTTGGTGAATCAAGATTTTTACCTGAATTAATTTTCCACCATACTGTAGTAGAAACAGCTTGGGTTTGGAGCAAGAAAGAGCAGGATTCAAACTCTGCTTTACAACTAGCCTGTGACAATGGACAAGTCATATACTTTCTATATGACTTATTTTTCTTTTGTATAAAATTGGGTTAATAATACCTCCCTTGTGGGGTTCTTGTGGGAAGAAAATCCTGTGACATGGCGCCTGGCTGTATTGGTGTTTAATGATGACTTAGATCCCAGGTTACGCAGCCTTTCTCCATACTCCCTGTGTATACTGCTGTCAGAGCACTTCGCCCCTCCTGATCTCATCTCATCTCTAGCACTTAGGACACTGCCAACATGTTAAGTGAATGGAATAAACACCTAAATTTTATTTTGTACCTTAAAATAGAAATGTTTTAAAATGTCTTGTTAAGTATATTATATGAAATGTGTTGTACAGTAGCATTTATACATCATTAGACTTGGATATGTTCCCAGGGGACCTGGGGACCTGTGTCCAGTTAGAACAACTCACCAAAGATGAGGATCTTACTCACTTTGGTACCAGTAGAAAGACTGCTCAATTTTTCACATCTGTTTTTGAGCAAGGTGCTACTATTCCTACCTTACTTAATATGAGGAGATGCTAAGAGGTTAGGCAGTTTTTCTAATGCCATATTACTAACACATGGCAATATTGCCATTTGAACTCTGCATTTCTTTTCTTTTCTTTTCTTTTCTTTTTTTAACTTAAGTCTAGTACATTTTCCACAATATTAAATAAATACATTTGGAATACATAGTATGTGAAACATAGTGCCAATTAATGGTAGTTACTGTTATTATTGTTATATGAGAATGACCTCTCTTGAGGTTTGAGAATCTGCTCCATGCATGCATTATTAAAGCAGTGTATAATGAACTTATGCAAACTTGGTTTTGGAATTGAACTCTCTTCCATGGCTATATCAGTCTTGTGGACAGCTGCGGTGGCTCTTGACTCTGAGTGACTGCTAGTCAAAGCCCAAGGATTGTAAGCTCCTCCCTCAGGTGGCCCTTCTTTTCCTCATGGGTACTGAATAACTTTCTTACTTCATGGTCATTGGACTTTTGCTACCGACTTTGTGGCTTGGTGGCTTCATGTCTCTGGCTATTGTTGATCTGCATGCTTCCATGGTTCCTGTCGCTTGCTACTACAGAGGCTGTGAAGTCAAAATGTGTTTTTACCACCCAGACCAGTGAATATATCGCTATGTTAGGTTCTCAAAAGTAGTTGTTTTGTGTTTGGGGCCTATTCAGTTCATTTACAGAAGAATCTGTGATTTCTTCTGCATACAGTGGTTGAAGAAAAGATAGGATGATCCTCTTGATTTTAGTTCTCAATCTCTCAGTTTTGTTCTGCCTAGAACTTTTTGTTTCTGAGTCCTCAGTTTCTCTGGGATTCTTTAAGATACATTCCTCCTGCACCTGTTTCCTAGGCCAGAATTTTGTTGTGAATCAGTTGCTGATGTGCTGCTTTTCAGAGGATATCACCTTTCTTTAGCTTAGTATGCCATACAAATATTACCATTATGTGTGTGCTCAGACTTAAAAAATGTTTAAGAAGCACTGCCCTAAATTTTAGCTTCTTCAGCCCTCTTGTTACCAATTGTCACCCAACCATCTATTTTTTATCTTCCAGAAACTTAATTTTCATCCAATGGCTCTTTTCACATTTACTCTTCAACATTCTGAGTTTATACGGTTTGTAACTCTTTACCCTAAGACTTTCATATTAGTTGGCTGTTGGGAGGGAAAGAAGATATGTGCCAAGGTCAAGATGCCATTTTTAACTGAAAATCGGGTTTTTTAAAGTTTAACTTTGTTAAGCTATAATTGATTTACAACAAACAGCAGATATTTAAAGTGAGACAGTTTGTTACATTTGACATGTGTGTCCATTTGTGAAATCACCACAATCAAGGCACCCACTGTAACTTTGTGGAAACCGAGGCTTGGAGAAGCCCGAACTTTCAAATGAGAACCCAGGCCTATCAGATCTCAAGGTCCATCCTGTAGACTATAACCTGAGTTCTAGTTAGGAGGAGAAGAAGATAAAAAAAAAACACTGTTTTTCATTTGTGAGGGAAAACCACACAGTCTCTGAATCTAGCTCTTCATTTCTTCAGGAAGAGAGTTGTACTAAATGATCCTAGTGTCTTTGTCAACTTTAAGTTCCTTTGCTTCATTCATTTTTCTTATGAAAAGGTGGTAAATCTCTGTTCAAATACAGTTTGTTTTAATTCAATGAAACTGCACTATTCTCTGTAATTTTCACAGTGGAACAATATAAGACATTAAAAGCATATTTTTTTTCTCTTCATAGGAAAGCCATTTAAGAAGTTCCTGGAATAATATTAGTCAGAGTAATATAGGATCTGCAGGAAGTGCCTCAAGATAGTTGGTAAGATAATAAGAATTTAGTTTTTTTCAAATGCATTGGATAATTACTTTTCTGACTATAAGCTTCATAGCCTTGTGCTCGCCGGAGACATTTTCCTCAATCTTTAACTATTATGTGATTTTTAAGCTTACCAAGGGTGGAAGTTGTAATAGTTACCTAAAGCTTAGCTGTATTCTTCACTTTTGCCAGAGAATGAAGATTTTATATAGATATGGATATTCATAATGATATAAACATGTATCTATCTATCTAATGAGTTGTCTTTACACTTCTCTGATGTTATTGTCAGTGACTAAAATGCCATAACTCAAAATACATACATCTAACATCTATACACAGGCTTATATTATTTATGTGCCAAGTGTATATAATGTTTTTACGAACAGTTGGAATCAAATTTGACAGTTCTAAGACCTGACAATTTAATTTCTACTTCTTCAATCCTAGGAAAAGAAGAATTTCTAGACTCTTCATCAAGATCTTCATTTATACAGCTGTTAAATCCAAGGCTACTTTGGTGAAAGCATGAATAAAAATACATCTACTGTAGTACCATCCAGTCTACTTGAAAAGTAACTTTTAAATTTAATACATTTTGAAATATAGTTTGAAATATGTAAACTACTAATGAACATTTGATTAAAAGTTTTTTACATCTAGCTCTCTAATGTGGTCTAGGATAGCAGTAATGAGTAGTAAGTAAAGTAATACATTGAATTACCTTTCAGTGTAAATCAGTGTATAGAACAAAATCTGCATTCTCTTTAAAGTCATCTGTACAAGGCACGGTAGGGCATGCCTGTAGGGCATGCCTGTAGTCCCAGTTGCTCGGGAGATTGGGAGTTTGAGACTGTAGTATGCTATGATTGCACCTGTTAGTAGTCGCTGGACTCCAGCTGGGCAACAGGGCAAGACTCTGTCTCTAAAAATAATAAAAAATAAACAATTATAAAATTCATTTTTAAAAACTCTTCTGAGATTTCTTTTTTAAATTTTGACTTTTTAATATCTAGAATATTCTATAATTCTGTTAAAAATTTTGATAAGATTAACTATTGGTGACTAACAAACCACCCTAAAGTCCCTTAAAACAATAAGTATTTATTCTTTCTCATGATTCAGTGGGTTGGTTGAGCAGTTCTGCTCTATTCCAGATAATGTAGGATGGCCTCATTTACACCTTGTGAGGCCTCAGCTAGGAAGGCTGAATGGCTGAGGTCTCTTTAGAACTAGTCTGTCATTCTTCAGGAGGCTGGCTCAAGCTTTTTGCCTGGTGGCAGAAGCACAGGTGTTTTCCAAATATCCATTTTCCTCACATTTGCTGGTATCTCATTGGCCAAAGCAATTTAAATAACCAAGTAAAAATTCAAGGAGTGGAGATATAGACTTAGCTTTTTTCTTTTTTTTTTTTTTTTTGAGACGGAGTCTGGCTGTGTTGCCCAGGCTTGAGTGCAGTGGCATAATCTCGGCTCACTGCAAGCTCTGCCTTCCGGGTTCATGCCATTCTCCTGCCTCAGCCTCCCAAGTAACTGGGACTACAGGTGCCCACCACCATGCCCGGCTAATTTCTTTTTATTTTCAGTAGAGACGGGGTTTCACCGTGTCAACCAGGATGGTATTGATCTCCTGACCTCATGATCTGCCCGCCTCGGCCTCCCAAAGTGCTGGGATTACAGGCGTGAGCCACTGTGCCCGGCCTAGACTTAGCTTTTAACGAAAGGAAGCAGTAAAGTTACATTACCAAGATGCATGCAGACAGGAGTGGGAGGAATTGGTGGCCATTTTGAAAACATAAAACATACTTTTAACAAGGTATATTAAAAAAAATCTTGCTCTTAGTCTAGTCTTCACTATGTGCCCTCATTCTCTCTATAAAAAGTTGTTTTTATTCTTGGTCCTTTTGTAGTGCTTCTTTTTGTTTAAGCCAATGCATATATATAAAAATAAATATACACATATATAATATATGTACACATGATAATTATATATATTTGGATTCCACTCCCCAGAATATTCTTAAGTAAAAGGTATCATGTATACTGTTTTGACCTTGCCTTTTTGTTTTAATGTATATCCTGGTGATCCCTTCATATCAGTTTATAGAAATCTTCCTTGTTTTTTGTTATAACTGCATAATATTCTATGGTGTGGATGTACCATGGTTTATTCAGCCAGTACCTTATGGATGGACCTTTGTATTGTTTGCAATTTCTGGTGAATACAAATTATGCCAAAATGAATAACCTAGCAGATAAGTCATTTTCTATTTTTTGCCAGAGTATTTTTGGGATAGATTCCTAGAAATGGAATTGCTGGACCAGAGGGTTGTTTTTTGTTAGAGGTTACCAATTTATCTCTTTAGAAGTTGTACCATTTTGCATTCCCACCAGCAGTGTGCAAAAATGCCTGTTTCCCATAGCTTTGTCATCAGAGTATGTTGTTGAAGTTTTAAATTTTCATTGGTCTGGTAGGTGAGTAGTAGTATCTCTGCAGTTTTAACTTGTAATTCTCTTATTATGAGTAAAGTTGAGCAGAACTATTTTAATATTTAATAGGAAAAAAATATATAATCTAAAATCTTAACAATAGAAGAGTTTTAAAATAAGGTCCTAGTCGTGTATGTAAATTTTATGCTGCCATGAACATATAAATTTATGTTTAAGAAGAACTTTTAACAACATAGACATTGCTTATAATAATTCTGGGTAAGAAAAAAAATAAGATCTAAAACTGTTTAAGTGTAAGATAGCAATTCAGAAAATATATGGATATTAATTCAGAAAATATATGGATAGATTTATAGAGAAAAAATACTAACAGCACTAAACTGCTGTGCTAATAACACTTTGTTAGAATTAGAAAAGTAAGATCCTGCACTGAAACAATAATATATGCTGGAGATTATTGTGCCCCCAGTGAAGGACGTTCACATTTGGAGGGTTTAAGAGTTAGTGGAGAGATCTAATAAGGCACCTTACTTCCCTTTCTTACCTTCTCTTTCATTTCTAGGCTTTACTCATTTATGTTTTTGCAATCTACTATCCTGTAAAGAATGGGTTTATTGGCCAGGGGCGGTGCCTCATGCCTGTAATCCCAGCACTTTGGGAGGCTGAGGGGGCGGATCACTTGAGGTCAGGAGTTTGAGAACAGCCTGGCCAACATGGTGAAACCCTGTCTCTACCAAAAATACCAACAATTAGCTGGGTGTGGTGGCACATACCTGTAATCCCAGCTATTCAGGAGGCTGAGGTGGGAGAGTCACTTAACCTGGGAGGTAGAGGTTGCAGTAAGCCGAGATCACACCACTGCACTCCAGCTGGGACAGAGCAAGACCCCGTCTCAAAAAAAAAAGAATGAATGAATTTAGGGTACATTTGGACCCTTGGACCCTGTCCTCTCTGCCTGTTTTCTAGCTGACTGACTATTGCCCTAGAAACCAGATAGACCTTCCCAAATTAGAGCTGAATTCAGTATACCTGTAATACAGCTCTAAATGATGTTATACATGGAGAGCAAAATATCAAAAACAGGGAGTGCTATATCCTTTTTAAAAAATTTTCTTTCTTCTTTTCAGAAATTATTTTTTTGAATGCAACAGTTTTCTTAAAGATATTCTTAGAATTTCTATGGTGGAAGCTAAGAAAGCTTTTTCTAAAAACTATAATCATGTAAGATATGAAGTAACTCTTTTTTTAATAGTAGTTTCAGTTATTCGATGTTTTTGAAGATAGCTGGAAGTCCTATATTCAACAGTGGCTCTAATACAACAACAAAGTAGATTACATATCACATTTTGCCTCTGAGGTAAGACTGACTGGGCTCACTCTTGGGCCATCAAGTTAACCTACTTGAATTTTGGGCCCTTTAAAAAAATAAGGATAAGAATCTTAAGGATTTTATAAATATTAAATTAAATGTCATTATTTAGGTATTGTTTAGCACAGTACTCAGTACATAATAAGTAAGCAGGCAGCCCTCAGTCTTATTTCAAACTTAATTCAAGTTTTGTTTGACCAGTGAAAGTCTCTGGTCTGACCTAGGTATTCAGAAATGCAACTTGGATATTCCTTTTGCAGGACTTTTTTTACAGTCCCTTCTTTTCAAATGGCATTGCTTTTATGTCTGGCAGAAATTACAGTTGAAACAAGTACTTTGTACCAAGAAAATATTCTTTCTAAATTAAAAAGATAAATTTTGAGATTCAAATGGAAGTCACATTAACTTTGCTTTAAATGGCCACAGGCATGTCTTTTAAAGCTACTTACTTAAAATATTTAGTTTTGGAATTCTTCAGGTAGTCTAATAACCAGGTAAAAGCAAATCTTTTCCATCACCTTTAATAAATTTTTGTTCTACTCCAAAGAAATAAGCATTATCATTATAAATTCTTTTGTGTTTTGGTTTTGTAGATAATAGGCAAGCAAACTCATTTAATTGCTGTTATGTCACCATACTTCTAAAAATGTCATTGCTAGTAAGTACTAAGTATTTTGGGTTGTCTGGATCAGGGGTCCCTAACCCCTGGGCCGCAGACTGGTAGTGGTCTGTAGTCTGTTAGGAACCAGGCCACACAGCAGGAGGTGAGCTGAGGGCAAGCGAGCATTACTGCCTGAGCTCTGCATCAGATCAGCGGTGACATTCAATTCTCGTAGGAGCACGAACCCTTTTATGAACTGTGCATGTGAGGGATCTAGCTTGCGTGCTCCTTGTGAGAATCTAGTGGCTGATGATCTGTCACTGTCTCCCGTCACCTCCAGATGGAACTGTCTAGTTGCAGGAAAACAAGCTCAGGGCTCCCCCGATTCTACATTATTGTTAGTTATATAATTATTTTATTATATGTTACAATGTTATAATAAAGTGCACAATAAATGTAGTGCATTTGAATCATCCCGAAACCATCGCCTCTTTGCACCCCCATCCCCTCTCCACCTCCCATGGAAAAATTGTCTTCCACGAAATAAGTCCCTGGTGCCAAAAAAGGTTAGGGGCCGCTGGTCTAGATCTAAGAATTTGATTTAATAAGTAGTTTAAAGAAAAAAATAGGTACAGATCTGTAGACTAACCTGTGTGTGCTAATTTACTTTATCTTAGGGATCCTGCCTTTCAGGTGATTACAATTACCAAGGAAACAGGCCTTGGCCTGAAGATACTAGGAGGAATTAACCGGAATGAAGGCCCATTGGTATATATTCAGGAAATTATTCCTGGAGGAGACTGTTATAAGGTAAAAATATGTCCCCTGACCACCAAAAATACAAACAATAAGACCTACCAGTGGTGAAGTTTATTTTTTCTTCTTTATTAGTGAATTTATATCCACTGTGACCATACCTCAGTGAAAAATACAAAGGAACTAGGAGATAAGACTGTTGCCCTCAAGGAGCTTTAAACTAAGAAATAAATAGGTTATTCTTATATGAAAATAATAGATATTTCTGACTGTAAGATAAGGTTATTATTTTTAAATTACGTGTTGTTCAACTTTTATCCTGTATCTGATTGAGAGAAATTATATTTGATGACATGTTATCTTTCTACTACTTTGAGTTTTTAAATTAAGTTGGATCAGTAGAACTTTAATTACATTCATTTAGCCTCTACTAAATGCAAAACAAAACAGAAACAGCAAACAAAATCTACTAATTTCTGAATTTGCAGTTCTTGTTGAGCTAATGAGTTTTATCACTCGTTAAAACCAGAAATTGTCTTTTTTTAGGAATTAGAAAGTCTTACTCTCCTCTTCAATGTAAGAAATATGTTATATAATGAGCTCCCTTTCACTTTGGTTGGTAGGAAGCTGAGACCCAAATTTGAAGCACAACCCCAGCAATTTAACAAACTGGTTACTATATTTGAATTCTCATTCTTCTTGGATTTCATTTGCTGTTTCTGTTTTACTAAAGTGATTATGTGTCATTTTTTGAAAATTGCGTCCACTTTATTTTGGAGAGATATCAGATATAAAGAATTTAATAAAATTATATTAATAATTAATAAAATTAATAAAATATTCTCCATTTGATTGCCTCCATTTGATTTTGGAGAGATATCAGATATAAAGAATTTAATAAAATTAAT